TTAATATTATAAAATATTGAAATAAAGGGAAATTACACGGTACTGCCCAACAGTGGCCAGATGAGTACGGATTAACTGGACTATTCCGACCGCAAAGAGTTAATGCTAAACATTCTAATAATTCTAGGACGCCATAAAAATTCTTGCATAAAGGTGCCAAGCACTCTACCGCCGGCCCTCTTCTATTGATATAATTTAGTTCATATTTGTGTGTCATAAGCTGACAATCGTCGTGATTCTTTTCGCTGAAATGCACCAAAGGTAAAGAAGTTCAGCCGAGTTTTCTGACGGAACAAAGTGAAAACATGCAAAAGTTAACATAATCGCTGTCTTGTTATCGTGACTGAACATTTTATTACAATTTGTTTTGTCTAACTTTAAAGCTGTACTGGAAATCCCAAATTGCATTTCGTCGACATGTTACAAATACGCAGAACGTGTTATTTGAGGTCTCGTGTCTCGTAAATGCGGAATTCATAGAGTCGACTCTTGTCCATAAGTTACCGGTCACTTGGTAAATTTAAGGACAAATGTATGTTACACATGGTACAGCATAAAAGATTCACGATTTTAACTTTTTTTCTTTTTTCTTTGTTTATTGTGCCTTTTACAAAATTCCCTGCATGTGCTGTCATAATGTAAGTTTCATGAGCAATTTAAAATATACCGTTTTTTAATTATACCGTTCTGCTACTAAAATTTTATTAAAAAGTAGAAGTGCGTGAAAACTGAAAATTAAGAATACTCGATGTTTAGACGGAAATTGCAATTTTGAGGTAGAACTTTATTTAAACAAATAACCGTTACATATTTCGAAATGTTTTTGCGGTTTTATTGTGAAAGATGAATGTAGAGCATAAAGCAGTCCACGAAATGAACAATCGAGTATTTTCTTCGAAATTTGCAAGAACAATAGACAGTTGCGTCTCGTCTTCGAGTAACAATTTTGTTGTAAAAGAGCCACTTAAATAACAACATTGCAAAATCCGAAATATTTCCAGTCTAAAAAATTCCTATTAAATACAATTTACTTGGAAATACCTGTATTGCCAATATTTTGCCAATTACAGCCAATATTTCGCAAAATTTCGATACTTTTATAACGGAAAGTTAATATCTGAACAAAAATTTTACCAAGATCTAACAATTAGACAAGAGTATACATACATGATGGTCCATGCAAATGAAACAAATCATCCCATTTTTCTGATTGCAATTAAAATAAAATGTTCAAAGAGGAGTACATTTTCAGGACAATATTTATTTTCGCAGGTGCAACGATGCATGTGCATTTTACAATAATTAGTCCTTGAGGTATTTTAAATATATTTAAAAATGAAAATTTTAACGTAGAAAAATTAATTATATTAATTAAATTAAATTATTCAATATATTTTGATTGTGGGTCATTCACTTTTTACTAAATCTAAAAATCAATGGTTACTTTATATTTTGTACACCTTGTTCTACAAAACTGATAACAGTAATCTTTATCATACTGCGTGACCCATATGCTGGGCGTAATAAATATTTCAGGAATTAATCATTTTTCGACCACTTTACTCTAATATTTTTTTACGCAGAGTGATGAGAAGATTAGGACTGTAGAAAAAAATAGTGCAACTATAAAATGCACATGCATCGTTGCACTTGCGAAAAAAGTATTATACTATGGCCAGGTATGTTTAGGTTATGTGTTCTGACCATCTTCACCATTAAATTTTTAATCTCACATGAAATGTTAAATTTAGTTCAGACCTAGATTCAGTTTGTCGTAAATAGGGTTTGGTTATTGGCGAAGTGGTTTACTCTAATAAATTGAACCGTGCAATTCTCTTACAAAACTTTCCTCGGTATCTTATGTACCTAATCCAGCGGCTGGAATATTGACCAAATTTTTAGAACAATGTAGTAATGTACGCTATTTGCACATGTAAGCTGTACAAATCTCATAAAGTATAAAAAAAAAAGAAGATTGTGAGTTATGTTTAAGCTTGTAAAAATTCTGCTTAGTTTTAAGAAACTATGAGTGTGTGTATGTGTGAATGCGAAGGGCGAAAATGCGTGTTTTCCCTTGGGAAAATCAGTCCCTAAAGAACAGTTCGAGAGGAAACTGACCTGCGAGGTGCGGTCAGTGTTGCAAGTGTATATACAGGGTGTCTCACATAAAGTGTTACAAACTGTTTTCTCCGAAACCATTGTAGATATCGATTTGAAATTTTGAAGCGTTAAATGGAGCAGAGAGGCTATCATTTTACAGTACAAGAAGTTGTGGGAGTGAGTTTGCTATTGGTGGAAAGTATGCAACCTCAATTTTTTTTTAAATGGAATGGTATATTAATTTTTAATTACCACAGCTATGAGAATAACGAAAAACTCAATTTCTCTCTGAACCATTTTTCATACAGCGGGTAGTTTACGAGTAATTTGCATTTATAGATTAAAATTAGACACTCTGTATATATTCTTTTTTACTTTTCCTACATTAACCCTCTGTAGGTAAACTTATTTTCTCACACTCCGTAGGTAAGTCTAATTTTTTCACTGTTTTAGGCTTTTAAAAAATCAGAAACAATTCTAGGGTACTTATCAAAGTCTCTACCACACTATGCAATCGTTCTTTAAATCAAATATCTCAAACCTTTTCAATAATCGAAGAGATACAAGAGTGAAATTTTGCTTGGGTCATTAATGACCCGGAAAAGATTGTTTCCCACTGGAGCCTAATGTTTTTACTCTTTCAAGCTTTGAAAAAATCTGAAAAAATTCTCAAGTACTCATCAAAGTCTCTACTACATTACACAATCCTTCGTATATCAAACATTTCAAACTTTTTCCAATAAAAATCAAAATTCGTAAAATTTCACTTGGGTCGTCCAAGACCCAGACTGCCTACGAAGAGTCAATTACATTTACACTTCACAAATGAAGTGTACCAACATCCAAATTACCACAACACATAGCCCTAAAAATCTACTCTTTCTTGAACAATCCCTATTCTCCAACATTCCCATTTCCAATTGCAATCACAAAACAAAACATGTCACTCGTTCCATCTACAACGTACCACCCTGTATATCGAAAAAAAAAAAAAAATCAGGACAAACGTACCTTGCTTGCGTCGCCACCCTCCATCTTGAGGGCGTGAGCACGGGATCTACGGTGTTTGTAGAGATTCGATTTGGTCTTGAACGCGAAGCCGCAAGGCACGCAAGGGAACGGCCTCTCATTGGTGTGAGCTCTGATGTGTTTTTGCAGGACGCTCGGCTTCGCGCACGATAGCCTGCAATAAGGACACACGTTGCCGCTTTTCCTCGGCTCGGTCGGCTCTCCGTCCACGGGTTCCGGTGAGGCCTCGACCTTGATTGGATCTTTCGGCGACTCTCTGGACTCCTTGGTCGAGTCCTTCTTTTTAGCCGGCTCTGGAGAACCGTTGCTAGCCACACCGGCGTCCTTCTTTGGCTCCACCTTAGGCGCAACCTCGGTCGTCGCCATCTTCTTGAACTTTTTATGCAGGTACTTTGGCTCGCCATCGTTGTTGTTGTTGTTGTTATTGTTGTTGTTGTTGTTGTTGTTGTTCGCCAACTGCGGATCTGTCATCGCCACAGTGTGAGTCTCTGGAAGAACGGAAAGGGTAACGATACTAATTTCAGGTGAACAAATTTCTGCGTCGCAAATTTTCATTTTCTCGTAATATGTATTTAAACGTTGTCACGAGGATTGATAACGAAGAGAACGGGTAAATTGCTGGATGTAACACGCCGAGGTGTATGAATAAACAGGTAGCAATGGCGAGTTTTACTACCGCGGAGTGGTACGGGCGCGGCGTGCATGGAAATAAGGGAATATCATCCATCGACAGGCGTGATTCACAAACAGATCCCGCGACTCTTTTCAGATACTGCACGCGAATCAACTAGATTGTTCCGAGAATCTTTTCTGCCGTGTACATTGTCGTGAATCACGTGTGATGAATAGGGTATTAGGAAAATGTGCAATGGTTTACGAACGGCGAAGTTCGGGGAATATCAGGAAACACGTAAGAAAAAATTTGTCAGCGTATTCTGGAAATAACGATAAATAATCGTGTGTCATTTTTCTCTCTTGCGTTTGTTCACTGTTGGATAATACGTTTATTTTTCAGTTTACCTTCTTTTTTCTGGATCTGTTGTGGAAAACACTTGGCGTATTGTAATTTTTCATTTGCTATTCGACGAAATATGATGTTTCTATCGATAGCTGATAGTAAGCAGACGTTGTATATTATTTTGTAACTTGGTTAACAAGTGTAGAGAGTGAATTGAGTATAGAAATGTAGAACGTACATATAGGGCATCATTTACTATTTCTCGGTGCCCGTTCTCATTAAAATATGTCGCAAATATAACGATGAAACAAACAAGTGTGTAACGTCATAGACTCGAGGCACGATAAGAATATTCATACGATTATTTCGCCGTCACGTTGATTATATAAAATAACTGAATATTTTCCACTCGATTCTGTGTTGACAAATTTTTAGGTCAACTGTGGGGTTCGGTGGAAGAAAATGTTGAAAAATCTGGTTTCACTTTCACAATTTACCTAGACGCTTCTCGATGCAAGTGAAATGTAGAAAAACGTGCGGTTTTGCAAGTGAAATAGTTGCAAATAAAATATTTTGCAATAAGAACAGTTTTTGTGAAGCTTCGTTTTTGAGCCAATTTTCAGATTTAAGCGTACAGAAGGTAAAATAAAAATAAAACGTTTTTTCAGGCGCATTAACTTCATATTAATAAGTTTAAATAAAGAAATAGCAGTCTTAATCAGGCAATTTTTATTGGAATACTAGTTTTTGTAAAAGTATCAATATCTCACAGTGCTATTACCGTGGCACTGGGTTTCTCAATTAGTTTACAACAATACATAAACATAAAAATATTTTAATAATTCATGTATTATTTATTCAACTAATTGTAGTTTTTAAGGATTAAAATTGAGACCAGTGTACTTCCGTTTTCATTAATTAAGAATCAATGAAACAATCGCGGAATTCCAGTTCTGAGGATTCTCACACGAGCTTAACAAGACAATGAAAATTTCTCTCTGATTTTTTTCATTTAAAAATCCGTGAATTTCTGTTCACGAAATTTCTTCAATTTCAACGCGAGTTAGTTACAAAAAACGTGTTTTTCCAAAGAAGATCAATATTTTTTTTAAATATTGGGTCATCAGGAAAAATGTTTCAACGAGAATCCAAGAAAATGGATTCTATATCGACGACATAATGGTCTTACCAAAAGAAATAGAAAACAGTTGTGGAACTAAGGTTTCTTTTTTTATCAAATTTAAAGGTCCGTTGGAAATATCGATCTAAATTATAAAATTAGACAGAAACTTATGGGATGACCTAATAACATCCTCTGTTATTCAACAGCGATGTAAAGGAAGAAGAATCGAAGTCTTCGGGAGAAATTGAAGTGAGAAGTTTTAAGGTGAATCGTGTTGCAGGCATTATCATCGATATGGTAGTACAGGCAAACGGTTAAACGGGTCGAACGAAAACGACAGACGTACACGTTCGATGCGTAATTACCACAACGCTTAATATTCAAGGCCTGAAAGGTCATATATGCGGATTTATGCGAGAATTACATTACGTAAGCGGAAGGAGCCGAGTTCAACAGTTCAGATCACTCGGTCGTCATTTGTACGCGAATAAGACTTTCCTCGGATTGGATTTCCATTTATAAGTAATGAAACTCGTTAAACGACGTTCTTGTTCGCCATTAGGTCGATCGGGAATTATTCAGAGCCGGTTAAGGGCCATTGAAATTTTCAAACGGCTGTCATAAAGTGATATTATGCGACAATGTTACAATTGGATAACGAAGAAAGAAATTTAGAGAATACGAATAGCGGGGCAAAGTTGCCTAATATTAGACCTATTTCTTAAAAACGTCACAACTCTCGACTAAGAGTACCTTTACTAAAATTCGATACGTATTCTTTTGTAACCTACTGGAAAGTAGAGTAAAGAAAATTTGCTTCCTTCGTAATAAAATGAAAGCGAAAATTATACAAATGCACAGATTTAAAAAATGGGTTCCCAACATGAGACGCAGTTTGTTCCTGAAACTTATTTCTTCTGTCTTCGTGGGCCCACTGGTAACACTTTACACGCTAAAACAAAATTGGGTACCTAATATGAGACACTTCTTGTAACAGGAATTTCCTAGGATCTCATATTTGGAAACAATGACATGATAACTATTAAGTAGCTTCGAGGTTAAGTCTTCATTATTTAGTGATACACAACTAGTAAACCTTAAACTCCGTTGCATGCATTACACAGCAGTATTCATGAAAATGATTATACATCTACTATTTTGGAGGTATTTGTAATTTAATCGAACCACTTGAAAAACTTTCTGCAACGTATCGCACAAATATGCTTGCTCAAGGCGCTTAATTGATTTTAATCAAGTTTGATATTTAATTTGAGAATAAACGCGGTTAATTAGGAAACCAAACAGCATCTCTGCGACATTCAAGAGTTCCGTAACGGAGATAAGTTGGAGTCTGATATTAGGCAATTTTACCCTAAGTGCAATTAGATATGTTGTGTGCGCGTCATCTTTGTAATAAACGTTTTCTTTCTCGTTTTAAGTATTTATTGTAGTACAGTAGAGCGTCAGTTATGCTAACCAGTCCTCGCCAATTCTTGGAAACGGAACCTTAGAATGAGCTTCGATGGTTAAAAAAAAAATTAACCGTATGTATGTAATAAATGTATTATATATTGTTACTGGAAAGCATTTCTTCAAAAATTGATTAATATTTTGCGTAATATATATCACATTTCAAATTACAGCTGTAACTGTTCCATTCCGTAACTACTTTCAAGCTTAATTCCTACAGTTGTAAATCGGGTAAGTTCATGCATGTTTAATTATTCGAATTGTTCGATTATCCGAAGAATTCGCTTTTCCAAACCACCCTGGTCTCAATTCGTTCGGATAATTGACGCTCTACTGTATTTTGTCTCGATTAACACGTGGAGTGCCGCGTCAATTTCACGCGACTTTCTATTCAAGCCGCGTGGGTCACCGATGACCCACGCTATCGCATTCATTTTGTATGTTGGTTTTCAACAGCAGTACGCCACAAATTGAAAGATTCCTTATCGAATTGAAAACGAAGCGCTGTTCCGCGTGGGTCACCGGTGACCCACGCTGTCGCATTCATTTTGTATGTTATTTTTCAAGAACAGTATTGAAGGATTCTCTATCAAATTGAAAACATACCAAAATTTCGCGTGGGTCACCGATGACCCACGGTATAATGATCGCACTATACTTGATAATTACGTACTAGTTAAATGATATCGCGAAACATTTCATGATAATCTTTCTTTTTATACGGCCTGAGTGGATAGTCTAGCGTGGGTCATCGGTGACCCACGCACTTGCATTCATTTTGTGCTATTTTTCAATAGCAGTACACGCCATAAATTGAAAGATTCGCTAGAAAATTGAAAGTATACCATTATTTCGCGTGGGTCATCGGTGACCCACGGTATAATGATCGCACTATACTTGATAATTACGTACCAGTTAAATGATACTGCGAAACATTCCACCATTTTTTTTTTTTTTTCATACGGTCTGAACGGATAGTCCAGCGTGGGTCACCGATGACCCACGCGGCACTAAACTCATTAAATTATTCTTTCGTACGATTGTATATTATGCACACGTGACTGCTTTACGCATCTATTTTATCTGGGATTTTCGCATGTTCTTTTGGTCGATGAATTTGTGCTCGGTTTTTTTACCGTTTCTAACGACGTCGCTTTCAAATTACGCGGATTTACGTGGAATCACCGTGTCATTCTTGGAAACAAACGCAGCTGTTTTCCTCTAATGATATTCAATATTCAATCACTTTGCAATCTACTGAAAATGTTGTTTTATATTGTTCCGTCTGTATTCCTAACCTACGGTTTCCGATTAATAACACGATGCATTATTATATGAGGATTATATATGTAGTATCTCATTATACAGGGTGTCCTAGAGTTTTCCGTACAAACTTGGTCAGTGTTCTACAGGTAAAAATAAGACTAAAATTTCGTGCAACAAAAAGATACTAAAAATTAAATTGAAAGATATTAAAATGAAATTAAAAATTGTTTTACAACATTTTAATGGATCATTGCACTTATCTTGAGTAGCAAAAGGGTTAATTCATTTGATATTACTAGCTGTCTCGTTTGTCTTGTATAACATAATACGTTTATAGTTCTAAAATGATTGGAAAATTTAAAAAACAAGTTAAACAAGTATCTGCAGGTTATATTTGTACAATTTCTAATATACAGGGTGTCCTAGATTTTTCCGTAGAAACTTCACCAGTGTGTTCTACAGGTAAAAATAAGACTAAAATTTCATGCAACAAAAGGTCCACAAATTTTTTACTAAAAAGGTATAACAAAAATTATGGAATGTGAAATAAACGTTATGCCCAAGTTTGTACAATATTTTGGAGTGTTGCCCGTTTTTATTGATACAAGCTCGATATTGACGTATTATTGAATTTATTGTAAATTGAATTTCGTCAAATGCAACGTTGATTC